GTCTGTTCCATCCGTGTCCCTTGTCCCTCTAATTGCTGCTGGTCCCATAGGCCCAGCAATTGTAACATGTTGCACGATTGGATCTTCGTCCTCCAGAGCAGTTCCCACACCTGCTCCCCACCATTTGCTCACCGCCTTCAGTTGTTTTGTATTGTAGGGAAATACACATAACGTGACATTCACCATTTTCACCATTTTTAAGTAAGCAGCTCAGTAGCATTAAATACATTCACAGTGAAAAAATAAATAAATAAATAAATAAATACATTCACAGTGTTGTGTGACCCTCACCACCATTTATGTCCAGAACTTTTTGCATCTTGTAGAACTGGAAATCTATATCCATGAAACAATTACTCCCCATTTCCCCCTGCACTACTCTCCGTCTCCCTGAATCTGACTATTCTAAGGATCTCACATAAGTGGAGTCCTATGGTATTTGTCTTTTTGTGACTGGCTTAGCCGCAAATCCTCCAGGTCCATCCATGTAGTTGCCTGTGTCGGGATTTCCTTTCTTTCTAAGGGCTGAATACTACTCCATTGTACATATATACCACATGGTGTTTATCCATTCATCTGTTGATGGGCGCGGGGGATGGGGTGTGCGTGGGCGGGGTGGGGGGTTGGCTGTTGTGAATAATGCTGCTCTGAGCACAGATGTTCAAATATCTGTTGGTGTCCCTGTTTTCAGTTCCTTGGGGTGTACACCCAAAAGTGGAATTGGCTGGATTATCTGGTAAACTGAGCTGCAATTTTTTGAGGAACTGCCCTGCTGTTCCCTCAGGGGCCGCAGCCTCTTGCATTCCCACCCCCAGTGCACCCGGGTTCCAACTTCTGCACACTGATCAATTATTTTTAATCAGCTCTCCCTTTCTCCTCTTAGCCATATCCCCTTTCTGATCGTTTCTTACCTTTCAATACTCACATTGCTTTTGCATAAACCAGACACGACGGGATAGACAGTCTTCCTTACTTCGAAACAAGCACAATGGCAGTGACCAGAGGTCACCTGGAATGAGATGGAATGACTGCTTGACCTCCAACGCCATCTGTTGGAGGTGGACTGAGTAACAAGCCTTGGCTCCAACATAAAAAGCCTCAGGAGCCAATTCAGCCTACATAACCTCTGGGCTGGGCTGGTTTTGCCAATGTGTTCCTGTCTCAGAGGCTTTGGGAAGGTCCTTGGAGGGGGTCTAGATGACTGGAGGCTTCAGATGGAGGATTGAAGAGAGTTCCACGTGCCTGATGCCCAGAGAAGTAGGGTCAGGGTAAGGTGGAGGGTGGTGGACAAAGGCAGAGAGATGTTTATTTAGGGCTTCCAAAGAAATAGGGATGCAAGATATTTACTAGAGATCAATGCTTGTGAAAGGAAAACAGGAGAACGGGATTGGGCAGAGGAAGAAGTTGAACTATGATACAGCTCCAACAACCAGCAATCCAGTACTGAGCTCTGGAGCAAATTGTGTCCATGAGTCAAACTAGCTTTCAATGCTTAAAAGAAAAGGAATATTCAGATATTTGTACACCATGTTCAGAGTGACATTATTCCCAACAGCCAGGGTGGAAACCCCCATGTCCATCAACAGATGCATGCTTGGGTCCACCAAATGTGGCACATCTACGCAATGGAATCTTATTCAGCCTTAAAAGGGAAGGAAAGTCTGGGGTGGTGCCTGGGTGGCTCAGTTGGTTAAGCGACTGACTCTTGGTTTTGGCTCAGGTCATGGTCCCAGGGTTGTGAGATCGAGCCCCCATGTTGAGCCCCACACTCAGTGCAGGGTCTGCTTGTCCTCCCTCCCTCCTTGTGCATGTGCATGCTCTCTCTCTCTCTAAAATAAATAAAATTTTTTTAAAAAGGAAGGAAAATTTGACACATGCGACAACATGGATGAACCTGGAGGACTTTATGCAGAGTAAAATAAGCCAGTCATGAAAGGACAAGCACTATGTGATCCCACTTAGGTGAGGTACCTAGACTGGTCAAAAAGATGGAAAGTAGATGGGCGCCTGGGTGGCTCAGTCGGTTAAGCATCTACCTTAGGTTTGGGTCATGATCTCAGGGTCCTGGAATCGAGTCCCATATCAGGCTCTTTGCTCACTCTCCCTTTGTGCTCTCTCTCTCTCTCTCAAATAAATAAATAAAATCTTAAGCAAAAAAAGAAAAAAAAGAAAGTAGAACGGTGGTTGGGCAGGGCTGGGGTGGGTAGTATTCAGCATGTCTATACTTAAGGCTACTCAACCGTACACTTCAAAATGGTTAAGATGGTAAGTTTTAAGTTATGTGTACTATACCATGATTTAAAAAAACAACAAAAGAAGTGAAGAAATGTATGATGCAGAACGACAGGATGTCTAGAGTACACTAGACCCAGGTATGGTCTGGGCAGGGCCCTGGCTCAGTTTCTCTGGATCCTAGTTCTGTTTCATGTGTCTGCCTTGTCCTCACAGGGGCTTCCCTCTTCAGCAGCTGGGACAACGTGCTCACTTGTTCACATCCAGCGGGAGAGAGGCACCTCCCCCAGCCATGGAACAAAGTCTTTTCTGTCAATAGGATGGGACCATGTGCCCAGCTCATGATCAATACCAGACCCAGGTCAAGGCCATGCACTGCTGGGCTGAGATTCTGAACCGATTCCTGCTGAGGGACTTGGAATTACCATATTGGAGTGGTCTCAGCAAGGGTGAGGGGTTCCATCAGGGGTGGGGGGTGAGAACCAGTGGTGTCTGCTATAACCTCGTCACAATCCTAACAGCAACACCCTCTCATCCGTTCCTTTCCCCTTACACCAGCCTTCCGCTTATTATGTATGTGAAATCCTTGTGAGTAATGGAATTCATACTTGACCCACAGCAGGTGCCCAATGTAGACTCCTTGCTTATTTGACTCAAGTTTCATGTCCTTGATGGGATAAAATTTAGGAGAATTGCCCAGTTTGGTGGTTGATGTGTTTTCTTTTCTTAAGATTTTATTTATTTGAGAGAGAGAGAATGAGAGACAGAGAGCATGAGAGGGAGGAGGGTCAGAGGGAGAAGCAGACTCCCCGCCGAGCAGGGAGCCCGATGCGGGACTCGATCCCGGGACTCCAGGATCATGACCTGAGCCGAAGGCAGTCGCTTAACCAACTGAGCCACCCAGGCGCCCCGATGTGTTTTCAATAGATACATCTCTACTTTAGAAAAATGAAGTTTTGGTCTCTGAAAAACTTTGTTTAATAAAGCAGCACAGTCAACATTGCCCAAGCACAAGCCTAAATGTAGAGTTTCATGGCCGGGCCTGTTCTCTGTGGGACCAGGTCGGTCAAATGGTCGGTCAAATGGCAGAGCAGGACAGGGGCTGCCGGTGGCGGGGTGAAGCGATCGCGGGAGGGTCTGCAGCGTGGAGCTTTATTAAAGTCCAGCCACGCTAAAGGCCACAGTGGTTCTGACGAGACAGTGCTTGTGGCTTGCGCCCAGCTGCTGTCTTCCCTCATCGCTCCAGGGTCCTTAGGGAGCCTCCAAGTTTTATCTGACCCATAGCAAGTGTTCTTACCGGAAGTGTTGGTCTGCTCCTTCCTTCCACTCTTAAGATCCTGGATGAAGGGAATTTTAGAACTCAGGAGGCCTTAGGGAATGTTGCCTCCAAGGTTAACAAAGTAGGGGCCATTTCATCTGGAAGAGAATTCTCTCAATAAATCTCCATTTCCAATGTTAATGGCTCTAGAATGGGGCGGCATTTGGTCAAGGTGGTCTTAGGCCAGGCCTCCCAGGGGTGGTGGGGAGACTGCAGGGGTCACTGTAGGGGATTCAGAGCTATTGTTCCTTGATATAGAGCAGAGGAGACCCTGGTCTTTGTCCTCATCTCTGGAGTTCTTCCTTGTCTCCTTGTGTCTCTTTCTTCCATCTCTCCTTTCTCTGTAATTCTGTCCTTATTGGCCCAGAAGTGGGATGAAAGTATCCTTTAAAGTGTTCATTGTATTGTTTAATTAATACAGTTCTATGTTTCTGATTGTTTATTCTTTTTAAGTGCATGAGCTGAAGGTATTACATTCATCTCTAAGCAGAGAGATGGGCTCATCACTGGAGAGAAGATCAGAAGGGAGACAGGTGACCAGGTATTTTTTATTTTTTTAAGATTGGCTCCATGTCCAGTGTGGGGACCCAGCATGGGGCTTGAACTCACAACTATGAGATCAAGACGTGAGCTAAGATCAAGTGTTGGATGCTTAACCACCTGAGCCACCCAGGCTGCCCAAGCAGGTTTAAGCATTCTAACAACTTAATATGCTAACTCCCTGGGAGGTGGGCGTAAACAACTGCCGTCCGTGTAATAGAAGTTCAGGAATATACCAAAACTGCACTTTGCATTGGGAAATGTAATTTGCTGAGAGTACTGTCTCTTGGTTACAGCAACAGCCCCGTGCATGTGATTTGTACTCTCACAAAAGCACCTTCTCCCTAACAAGTGAATCACAGTGGTGCAATTAACAGACTATTGTGATGGTGGGCAATCAAGCAACTGCTTAGAACCTTATTTTTCTCATATGTAAAAGGAGGAATGTGTCTAGAGACCCCTAAAATGCATCTCTAAAGTTCTGTCATTCTGATATGATTTTTAAACTTTTCTACAGCTTTATTAACATATACACCATAAAATCCATCCTTTTAAAGTGAACAAGTCAGTGGTTTTCAGTATATTCACAGAGTTGTGCAACCGTCACCACTATCAAATTTTATTTTATTTTTTATTTATTTATTTGACAGAGAGAGACACAGTGAGAGAGGGAACACAAGCAGGGGGAGGGGGAGGGGGAGAGGGAGAAGCAGGCTTCCCGCCGAGCAGGGAGCCCGATGCGGGGCTCGATCCTAGAACCCTGGGATCATGACCTGATCCGAAGGCAGGCGCTTGACGACTGAGCCACCCAGGTGCCCCTTATTTTATTTTTTTCCAGCACAGTTCTATTTAATGGAGGTGGGCCTCAGGATGTTCCACTATGATTGATTAGTCCAGGGACCTGTCAACATTAGGTAGAGAAGAAGCCACCATCATTCTTTCTCGAATAGCCTCCATTCGTGGCTACAGTGTGAGGGGACACTATGGATCCTTCGATGCTATGGATAGACTCCTTCTTCGGGTTGATCCAGTGTCTGATGTTAGCTCGGGAAATGATGGAAGGTGGCGGAGGAAGGGGTAAAAGTTCTCCAGGGAACTGGATCTTGATGATTCCATGGGTATCCTGGGTGGTCTCCTGGTGTAAGAGTATCTCACTTTTGTTCTTGAATGTCCCTGTGTGGTGGTTGTACAAGGCTGCTAAGCAGAAATCCAGGTCATCCTTTGGTGTCTCAGGATCAAAAAAATGAACATCCCGCCTCGTGGAGGTGATTGTGGGAGTTGAGCTGAGCCGACTCCAGGGTTCCTGTTGCTGAGCAAGGTGAGCTGGGGTCTTATATGGCAGTTTCTTGGAAGCCCGGCGTTTTCCCAGGAAGGTATCGTCATTATCCAACGTGGGGTGCTGGAAGGTGTCTTGGGTGAAGGGCACGGCGAAAATGCAGAGTGAGCTGCTGGTGTGAGTGCCACCACTGCCCAATTTTAGAACAGTTTCATCACCCTGAAAAGAAACCCCATATCCGTGAGCAGTCACTCCCAACCTCCTACCTCCACGCCTGGCAACCACTAATCTATTGTCTGTCTAGGTTTGCCTGTTCTGGGGACGCCTGGGTGGCTCAGTCAGTTAAGCATCCGCCTTCAGCTCAAGTCATGATCCCAGGGTCCTGGGATTAGGTCCTGGGATTGAGTCCCACGTAGGCTCCTTGCTTAGTGGGGAACCTGCTTCTCCCTCTGCCTGCCACACCCCCTGCTTGTGCTCTCTCTCTCTCTCTCTCTCTGACAAATAAATAAAATCTTTAAAAATTTTTTTTTTAGATTTCCCTGTTCTGAACATTTGGATACGTGGAATCATACAACATGTGGCCTTTCGTGTCTGACTTCTTTCACTTAGCATCGTGTTTTCAAGGTTCTGCCATGTTGTAGCAGGTGACAGGAATCCATTCCTGTTTGTGGCAGGATAACATTTTACTGTATGGATATACTACATTTTGTTTATGCATTCATCAGTGGATGGACATGTGAGTTTGAATATTATGACTAACACTGCCATGAATATCTACATGCAAGTTTCCAATATGACTTTAAGTGGTTCTCTGTTCCAGCAGATCTTGATAGACTTTGTACCCCTGTGGGTCATGGGATTGCAGGAAAGAAAAGATTCTCCATGCCTGCCTTTCAAAAGAAGAGAAGGAAAGCCCACTGAGAGGCATAGACTGGAGTGCTGGTACCTATTTGTTCAGTGACAGAGAGCAAAGGATCCAATGATGGTAAATGGCCAGACTGCCCTTCCTAGGCGTTGATGGTAGATCCAAATGGATTAGATACAAGACGGGTAAGTCATTAAATAGTAAGTCCTAGGAGCACATTGGATTAAAAAAAGAAAGAGAAAAATGAGGTAAGTGTTCAGAAAACCTCTCTGCCACATACATAACTTATGGGAGACCCAGAGCCACATGGTACAACTCTAGGAGACTCTCAGGATGGCCATACTATAGACTCTGAATGAATGATGCTCTCTGGAGTTGTGCAGTGCACAGCCTGCCCGGCCAAACACAGTGGCAGTGGGCAAAGCCTCTTTGGGTAGGGATGAAGGTTAACATTCTCAACCAGCTTGCCCTGTTTGCCAGGGCCAGCGTGTCCATGTCTGCTCCATGGGAGCCTAAAAAGAATAGGGTCAATACCGAGGAGTACATTTTCTATTTTAATTAAAACATGACTTCCCGGGGCACCTGAATGGCTCCGTTGGTTAAGCATCTGCCTCCCTGCTGAGCAGGGAGCCTGCTTCTCCCTCTGCCTCTGCCTCTCCCTGCCCCTCCACTCGTGCTCTCTCTCTCAAATAAATAAATAAAATCTTAAAAAAAAAAGAAATGGCATCTTGCCGTTCCCCACTGTCAAATTTTCAACCATGATGATGTTTTATAAACATGCATATATATTCTAATAAGAATATAGAATTTAATAATCGATTATATATAACATTTAATAGAATATAGAATATATATGATGTAACATGGACTATTACATTCTATATTATTCTCCATATTATATTTATCTATAAATATATAAACATTCAAACATATATTTATAAATAAACATATAATATGCACATATGAGATGTTATATGTAACATAATACATATTACATGTTATATATAAAATATAATATTTAGAATTAATATATTCTAATAAGAAGTGAGATGTAATTAATGAATCATACACATAAGCCCACCCTAGTGCTGCAAGGATGAAATCATCACTTACTTCAAAAATACATTATAAGAAAAAATACATTGCATATTTCTGTCCAATAGGAGGAAATCACTAATTACCGTAGGCAATTAATCTTTCTATGAGTTCGTTTTAAAAATTCAAATATTGTAATTAAAACATTGCTCAGGGATCCAATTTAAACTTAATGATACTTGCTAGCAGGCACTGATGTTTTAACAGGGACGATAATTATGCTGTCGATGAGTGATGTGGTGATTAGCTGCCCCACGTGTCACCGCCGACAGCCTTAAACAAACAAACAGGCCTTCTCCACCACTCACAGCCTCTTCACCGCGGGTCACAGAAACTGTCTCCTGCTGCCTCGTGACACCCACGTGCCCAGTTCTTGCTTCATGAGAATATTTATTCAAAGTACAGTGCAGACTCACTGTATCGAGAGCAAGCGATGCACAAGGAAGGGAAAAAGCGCTCTGGAAAAGGTGTCTGTGGCAGCTCAGGAAGTGTGTGTGTGCTCATGTGCACTGATGTGGGTGTTGTTCTGATCAAGGGAAGGCAGGCCACCAGAGGAATGCAAAGATTAAAATGTTCATAGCATGGAGACACTGGCCTGCTCAACTTTCCACCAAAGAGGACAGTATGGGAAGGGAGAGCAAAAGGAGTACTTTTCCAGGGGAGAAAACTGGCAAATCCTCAACCAAGTGATCAAGGTTAAGTCCACAGTGATGAGTCATATTGCTAGTAGGTAACCTTGATACAATACGACCGGAATGGTACTAATGGTACTAATCGCGAGAAAAACATCAGAGGAATCAAAACAAAGGGACATTCTACAAGATACCTGATCAGCAATCCTCAAAGCTGTCAAAGTCATCAAAAACATGAAAACCCAGAGAAACTGTAATGGCCAAGAGAAGCCTAAGGAGATTTGACTTCTAAATGTAATGTGGTATCCTGGGTGGGATCCTGGGACAGAAAAAGGATGTTAGGGGAAAACAGAAAATCTGAATAAAGTATGGACCTTAATTAATAATAAAGTACCAACAATTGGTTTACTAATTGTGACCAATGTACCCTACTAACGTAAGATGCTAATAATAGAGGAAACTGGGTGCAGGGTATATGGAAACTCTTTGTATTATCTTCTCAATAATTCTGTAAATCTAAAATCAAAAGTTCATCTTTTTATTTAAAACAAACAAACAGGCCCCCTCAAAGTTGACCAATATTTAGGTATTCCCTTGTAAAGTGATTTATCCCTTGCAATTGAGAAACCAAGGAACTCAGAGTTTCAACCCAAGGCAAAAAATATAAAGCCCACTTTCTGTGGGGTCCTGACTGGGAAACAGGCCTCCCTAATAAAGCCAACTATTCACCATGCTGGTGACATTAACATCTTCCATCTTTCATCTTGAATTCTTGAACTATGGATATCAGAGGTACATAGGGCTAACAGTGAGGTATCTTCTAAACTCTCAGAAGGACGGAAATAAGAATAAAGTTATCCACTTTAGAATTCACCCCTCAGGGCGCCTGGGTGGCTCAGTTGGTTAAGCGACTGCCTTCGGCTCAGGTCATGATCCTGG